TGCAACGGACAAAATCACAAACAGGAAATTTATTCAGTTAAATGAAAAGCCGGGGAAGTTGGGCTGGCACTCTCATCCCACTCCCTACTTCAAGCTTTGCTTTTCTTTATGTCGACTTCATTCTCAGAGCCTCTCTCCATGCTGTGGTAAAAATGGCCATTTGCTTCAAGATTAGCAGCCCCAGCTGAAGGAGAGTATCCTCACTTTCCTTTCTCCTTCTCACTAATGGAGTCAGAACTCCATTGGATGAGGCAATCTGCCAGGTAATTGCTAGAGAAAAGGAGGAAGGAAAGTGAGGGGCAGTTGCCAACTGACTTGTCTAATCCTGACCGATGACAAAGGGTTGGGTGTCTGTGACAGAATAAGAAACATATGTTTGGTTTTTGAACCTTATTCCTGACACAGAGCTCCCAAAACCCTTGTAATTTCCTGAGTGATGGGGTGATAGGTGCATCTTAACACAGAGCTTCTAAGACCCTTGGAATCTCTGGAGTGATGAGTGTCTTTTTGTTTGCTAATGAGGTGACTGGTGGCCCCCAGATGCTTCAAGATGGGGACTGGTCAAAGGCATGATTAGAGAGTTGGAACTTCCAGCCCCACCTCCTGGCCTCCTGGGATGGGAGACGGGCTGGAGATTAAGGTAATAGTTGGTCATGCCTACATGACAGAGCCTCCATAAAAATCCCTAAACTCTGGGGTTCAGAGAGCTTTGGGATTGGTGAACATGTAAGTGGTGCACCTGGGGAGGGCTCTGCACCCCTTTCCACATACCTTGCCCTATGCATCTCTTCCATTTGGGTATTCCTGAGTTGTATCCTTTATAATGGGTAATAGTAAGTAGTTTTCCTGAGTTCTATGAGCCGTTCTAGAAAAGCATCCAACTCAAGGAATGGGGTCATGGGAATCCCAGATTTATAGTGGGTGGGTCAGAAGTATGGGAGGGCTGGACTTGCGATTGGCTTCTGAAGTGGGGCAGGGGCAGTCTTGTGGGACTGAGGCCTTAACCTGCGGGATCTGTGCTAACTTCAGGTAGGTAGTGTCAGAAGTGTTGGTGTGAGTAAAGTAGAGAAAAACAGTGTTTTTCCTTTTAGCGTCCCATGAGCAATGTAAGGACATTAGAGAGTTTTAAGCAAGAGAGGGACATTTTTAAGTTTGCATTTTAAAAATATTTCTCTGCCTGCTATGTGGAGAGTGCTTTGTAGGAAGGGAAAGCATGGAAACAGGAAGCCCAGCAAGGAGGCCACTGTGGGAGTCCAGGGGAGAGGAGAAGTCAGTGGGTTTAAGGTGCTGGCGGTGGAGATGAAGAGAAGTGGAGGGATTCAAGAGAGAGCTTAAGATGTAAAACATACAGGACTCAGAACTTGACTCGATATGAGTGTTGAAAACATCTTCCTAAATCTTTTCTTGATTCTTTTATTTCTTATCTGTTGCCACTAAGTCAAATTAAAGATAGATAACTTCTTCCACATTCCTACTGCTAACAATAACAAAACAATAAAGCTGCTGTTTGAGTGTTTGCATCGAGTGCTCTTCCAAGTTCCACACATGACCCCTTGAGTCCTTGCCACAGCCCTGTGAGGTAGGCACTATTCCTGTCTTTACTTTGAAGCTGAAGGAGTGAGGTATACAGAGGGGAAGTAACCTGTCCAGGTTTACACAAGTCATACGCAGTAAGTGACGGAGCTAGGCTTGGAACCCAAGCAGTCTGCTCTGTGGATTGTGCTTTTCTTAACCACGTGGTCCAGCCCGGTCCCTCTGTACCTCACACATGGATTACTGCAACCAACCTCTCTTGAATCCCCTTATCCTCAGTCTCTCTTCTAGTCCATTTTCACCCCACTGCCAGACAAATCTTTCTATAACTCCCTTTCCATCTCTCCATTTCCCTGATCCAGGACCACCATGGTTTCTTTTTTGCCTTTTTAATAGAATTCTCAAGTGTCTGATTTCAGGGCTGTCTATAATCTGACTTGCTCCACTATCTATTCTGCTTGCTGACTTTTCTTTTGCAGAATAATTTAATAAAGATATGCACTTGTATCATTTTGTTTGTATAATTTAGATATTTTACTGGTCTGCAATATAGCTTGAGTTTGGAGTTGCATTGAGGTAACATACATTAATGCTAGGCTTTACTTTAGAATCTTATCAAGAAACAATGACATTCTTTCCATTCATTTTGTGAGTATTTCTCTCCTCAGGTAAGAGATGTTTATTATAGGCTAAAAACCTTTAAGAACCCAAGACCTAGGCAAAGGTGTACCTTGGAAGGAACTATTCAGAACAGTTGCCCTGGGGGAACCTATTATCTCTGATGCCTGTATCTCAGCTAAATGTGGGGTCTTGGCCCTGCTGTGGTTCGCCTCCATCAGTTATCATATCTGCAGGGGAACAAGGAAAATCTTCCAAAACTCCCTGGAGTGAAGTGAAGCAAGTGTCACCCAAGGTTGCGTGGGGTGAGCTCAGGACCTGTTCTTTGGAGGAGGGAAACCAGTGGCCCTGACATTCTGTGGAAGGGCGTGGAGTGATTCTCAGAGGATGCTGGGAAGTGGATTGTCCCAGCACTGGACATTTGAAGGGAAAACCTGGGAGGTAGTTCAATCTTTGCTGATTCTGAGGCCAGTACTGACAGGGAGAAGCCACAGGACTGTTTGAAAAGTGACAAACACGGTGATCGATAATTGGCAAATTCATGTCATGCAGAGAGAAACCTATTGTACGTGGAGGGAGGCAGCATAACCTTATGCTGGTGTTATGGTGGTAAGATGGCAGCCGTATACCTTATCCAAACTTGGACAATTCTGAGAGTGAAAGGAATGCTATAATTATTACACTTGTATCCGTCTGCTAGGGCTGCCATAACAAAATATAGACTGGGTGGCTTAAAAAGCAGAAATTTCTAGAACTGTGAGAAATCAATTTCTTCTTTGTGTACACATGGAGAGAGAGCAAGTTCTCTGGTGTCTCTTCTTATAAGGGCACTAATCCGATCATGAGGGACTTGACCTCATCTAACTCTAATCACCTCCCAAAGGCCCCATCTCCAAATACCATCACATTGGAGGTTAGGGCTTTAACATATGAATTTGGGGGGACACAAACATTCAGTCCATAGCAGTGTTGGATGACAGGCTCATACTAGAAGCTTCTGGGGCCAGCTAGGAGATATGTCCACCTTATTTAGAGCCCAGGAGCCATGTGGAGCTGGCCTTGAATCCCGCCTCTGCCGCCATCTAGCAGTGTGTCCTTGTTGTTTAGCTATTTAACTAACCTTGGTGAACTTGTACTTCATCTGAAAAAGGGGGCTTAATAAGTGTATATGCCTCCTGGAGTTGTTATGAGAATTAAATGAGCTACTATAGGTGAAGCAGGTAGCACAGAGCATAATTACCAGTATCATGATCTAACAATATATTTGTATATAATAAATATATAGATATGTTTATTCATAAATGATGTACTATATATAGATGTTGCCTATATATGTGGCTATAAATACATTCATAACCATATGTTGTTTTTTGGACCAACCCTTTGAATTTGGAAAACAGCAGATTGTCTCTCCTGAAGTACTTAGGTTCAGAATCATAGAAACTTAGTAATTATAAGTATGCGGGGGTGGGGGTTAAAATTTAAAGTCAACATTTGCCCTTTGATAACAAAATTAGGAAAAATAAGCCTGTCATTAATAGATTGGCCTTTTGAGGTACTGGACAACGAGACTGAGTTGTTGGGTCCCCTGGTTCCCTACAAAGCGTGGTGCCTAATCTGTTGTGTCTGAGTGTCAGGGCGGGGGGGTCAGGAGGACTACGGAAAGGGGAGGTGTTGCCTGTTGAAGGGAACAGGTCTCACCTGGTCAGCTTACCTGGGTAAGCTGATCCCCAAACATTTAGATCTCCCCCCCCCAACCTTATAGCAGGAAGGAGGTGACCAGTATTACTAATATTCTAGTCACTAAAGAGAGATACCCCCCCAACTGTATTGTTAATATTCTGGCTTATATAGTAGGTGCAGAACACAGGAAATGATTTGAGTGACTCTTGCCTCAGTTCTCCCAAGGATGACTCATAACTAGCATCATTCTAAATGCCTAGGAAAGAGGTTAACTCACTGCGTACAGTGGATGCATTGGGGCATTAGGTTTAATCCTGTCGTGGAACCTGGGATGAGAAAGGCTGTGACCTGAGTCAGCCTCCCAGAGGTGAGGCAGCTCTGTGGACTGATGGATGCCGTTCAGGAGGTGCTGAAAACAGCCACCCCCAGTGCAGCTGCCCTGTGAGGCCTGTCTGGGCAGCCACTGGCCAGGCCTCCTCCTGGGGTCCCTCTCTCTATGGTAACTGAGCACCAACTCAGCCTTGCACTTTCCTAAACTCTGATGGCCTTCCAATGTCTCTAGTGTGTTCTTGACATTCTAGTTCTTGACATTCTAGAGCACTCCTTCCCAAGAACTTCACAGGTTCCCAGATCTGCAGTCGCCTCTGGCACACATGCGTCCCCTTGCAGAATGCATGGGCACGAGCAGAGCTGTGCTGAGCTAGGATCTTGGGCCCTCAGCTGGTGCCCACTCGCCAGGGAGCAACTGGCTTCCCCATACAGGCCTCATAGTTTGCACACTTCAGAATTTTGCTGTAGCAGAATCATAAATTACTGCATATCACGGACTTCTGGGATGCCCAAAAATATTCAAAATGGGAGAGTTAAATCTGAGACAACTAAAAGTCACATGGATGATTTTATCAAAAACTTTTTTCCTAAAATGGATGCTTTGTTGTTTATTTGGAAATTATTCAAGTTGGGTGTCATAACTTTGCCTTGGCCCCTCTTCACACCCCTCCCCATCCCCACCCCCAAAACGACATCGCCCAAATCACTTGGCTCTTGTGTGCTTCGGGTACTGTATGTCCCCAGGGCCCAGGGAGAGGAAGCGGCTGACTGTTCCCACTGCCATGTGCCCCCTGAAGGGTGCCACGAAGCTTATTGTGCTTGCCTTTTGCTTACAGGACACATTCAGCATCACTACCAAGAAAGCCTCTCTGGATGTATTTCTGCCGGATGGAAGGAGTATTCAGGTCGAAATTCTAACATCAGACACTGCCGAAAGAGTCCTAGAGGTGAACTTTGTCTCAACTCCACCTCCAGATCTGAATTAGGAATCATTCTGTTTGAAGGCAGGGACTGGGACACAGTTACCTTCTGGAAGCTTCCTGCCTATCATTTTACCCTGGATGACTTATCTGCAGAGGTGGTAGGATTTTCTGGAGACTGACCAAGGAATCTGAGCTGCACCAGTCCTCCCAGTCCTCAGGGCCTCTTTGGTTTTACTTTCCCCGTGGGCATCAACTTTCCAGGTCCTCCTTAAGGCTGCCGTCAGTTCCCTAGAACTCAGCCCGGGATGTGCCGGAAATGTGCAAAATGCTTTATTATAGGATGCCCCGTGGTTGGGAGCAGGAAGGAGGGTGGGGCCCAGATGAATCTGGAACAGGCCATACCCAGGGGAGCTGGTGACGGGTTCTGGCAGACAGGGATAGTGGATTTCTCAAAGCCTGGAAGAGTGGTCCCTCCTCCCCCACAGGGAAAACCCCTGAAACCAAGGCCGCAGCAGGTCTAATTCTGGGTCTAGACGGCCAGACCTGAGTTTTAGTTGGTTCTCTGAGGACTTGAAGGATGAGACCAGAAAGCATCCTCCCCTTCCTCAGATGTGACTGTTACGAGCTCAGCTCCTCAGGCCTTTCCTCCCTGCGAGCTAGGCTGCAGAGGGGACACCATCTTCTCACACCCACACACTGCTCCCGAGGGCCAACTCCCAGGCCCTTTTCCTTTGGAGTTTTAATCCTCCAGAGAAACATACAAGGAAGAATAAAAAGTTATAAACAGGAGGAAGTCGGAAAGTTTCTAGGACCTTTCCAAGGACAGAAAGTTCTCGGGCTAGGGTCATATCTGACGCCTTCTGAGCCGGAAATGAACGGAAGTGCTCCCTGTTGAGCTCCCAGCTCCCAAGCCCGCCTTTACCTGAGACCATAAGGAGGAGCTTCTTCCCTGCATCGTGGCTCCTCTTCTCACCCTGGAGATTCAAGCTCTACGTGCCCTCCTGGCCTCAGAAGAGCAGCACCCGCATTAGGAAGCACCCTTCTCTAGATCTTGGCCCTGCCCAAGAATGATGATTTTGGACCTTTCTTCCTGCTGAAGGCACTTCACACACCCCAACTTTTTCTCGGCTCCTATACTGCTGACCTGGTTGAATGGTATCAGCAGCCGCCTAGTTGCTGAGGCCATCCGTTGAGGAGTTACTCTAGGCTCCTCCTTCACCTCCCAATCCTACTGACACTGTATCCCAAGTCTCTCTGCTATTCATCCCCATCTTCCTATTTCCTCCTCCTCATCCTCATGCCCCTAGTTCGAGCCCTCCTCATTTTCCAGCTAGATTTCTGTAGCAGCCCTGAAACTAGTGTCCCTGCTTCTAGTCTTGCTAATCTTCTGTACTGATTTCCGGAATGATCTTTCTAAAAAGTGTCAAATGTCTTTGATGCTTAATATTTGAGGGGTTTATACCAAAAAAAAACACCCCACAAAAACACAGTTCCCTCAATTGCCCTCCTGGTACATGCAGAGTGGGAGACAGACACATAAATGAAGGAGGAAACGGACAGTAAGAATGAGGGTGGGGACCACAAACTTGGGTATCTCTGGGTCCAGGCAGGTAACTCAGGGGTGCAGCTGTGGGGTGTTAGATAATTTGGAGATGAGTGGGCCTGTGACAAACTGGAGAGCACCTGCCCTGCCTGACGACATCATTATTTGCATGTTTTTCACATACTGGGTTTGCTGGCCAAGATAGACGTTTCTGCAAGTAAAGCTGGCTGCTGGTGGGAGTTTGGGGTCTCCTATCTGCTGGGGTTGGGACAAGTCCTGGAGTCAAATGACAGCACTGCCACGTCGTAACTGTGTGAGTTTGGGTGAGTTATTTAACCTTTCAAGATGATGTCTAAGTAAGTATATAAATAGCTCATGTTCCATCAGCAGTGGTGGTTATGGTTATTTATCATTATTGGTATTGATATTAGAGGGAGTGCTGAACTGAGTAGGACAGTAAGTCTAGGGTTCCACAATACCATCTATTTTGTCCAAGTCCCCTTGTAACTAACGGCATAAATTTAACGAGGTACATTTGTATCTTAGAAAAATGTACTTTCCCTCTTCCATTCACATTGGCTTGTGAGAAATTCAGACCCACGATACTGACATGGTTAGCATCAGCTAAGTTTACCTGGAGGTTCTACCCTTGAAAGGGTGGAGTTTCCATAAAAGGTCACAAGAGCAGTTGGCCAGGCAGAGGTGTGAATTCCATTCCAGGGGCTGGGAAATTCTCTAGCTTGCATGAAAATGTAATTTAAATTTTGTAATTAAAAATGAATGTGTGATCTTCTCAAGCACTTTGCCACCACTCGCACTTTGTTTCTCCTGTCCACTTTACCCCCATCCTTCTGGGCTCTTTAGGACCAGCAGCCAGCTAAAATCTCTTTTTTGTTTTTTATACATTTGTGCTAATGTAGTTTTATTGGTGGGGTCTGTGTTTTGAAGCTTCGTTAACATTTGCTAAGAACGAAATACTATTGTATCTCTTTTTGTCCATGCTTACTCCTCTCAAAAGAAGGTGTTTGTGTTTGTGTCTTTATAAATTATTAAAGGCTTCTCCATTCTCCTTTGTCCCACTCCTCTCTCTGCCTTGGCATGTAAGATTCCTGTTTTCACTGAGTGAGTCAGAGAAGAGAGAGCTCTCATTTGAGTGGACACGGGTGGTATTTACTCTAGGAAAAGATGTCTTTACACTCTTTTCCCTACCAGCACACCCTCACCCCCACACAGAGAGGAGCCCTGTGTTTTGGCTTGGGGCTTTTTACAAGGGCATGGGGAGGGGAGGGAGACAGAAGGAGAATGGGGAGAAGCGTTGAGTAAAACTTGTGGCAAGTTCCCAGGCTCTTCTTTACTTTCAAAGCTACACTGAGAACACCCACTCATCCCATCCACCTCATGAGACTGCCTTACGAGGTAATTGATAGCTCTCTGACAAGAAAAGCACCCCTTCCAGCCTGGTATTTGTACAACTGCTACCTTGAGAAGTTGGAGCGGTGGTTAAAGTGCTGTAAAGGCGAATCCTCACATGTTAACAGAGGTGATCAAGGGAATTCGGACTGGGCGTGCAAAGAAACCACTCAGGAGCCCAGTCATAAAGAGGAGTTGGGCTGGGCGGTGGAGAGGGGGAGGGTCTGTGGCAGCATGGAAGTTCCTGCTAAGGAAAGGCGAATGGATATATAAATGTTATAAAGTTGCATCCTCATGACGGTTGCTAAAAACAAAACCATTGGTGTTGAAATGAAAGCTGTTTGGTGTAAAAGTCGAAGAGGAATATGAAGTGAGGCAGCTGGTGCCTGGTATCTGAGGTTTCACTGAGCAAATGCCATATAAATTAGACTTGACTATCACAGGGGACGTCAGAGAAGGCCTGGCGTGTCAAAGGCAGACAGTAGCTCATACACTTTTATACGCCAGCCAAACAGTGGGGAACGTCCCTTTTCCCAATGTCTGGTAATCCAGGCCACGCACGGGAAGGTGAATTGATGTGTGGGCCCCAGGGGCAGACATTACAGGACAGATGTTCATGGAGAATGACGGCTGCCCTCCAGTGGACAATAAAGACCCACATGATCCAGGAGACACGTCCGCACGTGAGATGGGACAACCAGCCTCAGCTGAGGCCAGTTTACGTCCATTGTGTTGGCACTGATTTTTATTTTCTTCACTCTAATTTTTTTATTTCTAAATTTTCTAAAAGGAGTATGTACTATTTTTAGATTTAGAAAACGTTTCTTTTAATGTCCACTAGTCCATTAAAGCACTTTTTATTGATGTTTACAGGCAATTTCAAATTCTGCGTGTCACAGTAAGCATGATGGACACTCAACTCCTCCCCCTCTTTTTTTTTTGTCTTTGGTTAAAGGTGGTGTCACACAAAATTGGACTGTGTCGGGAGCTCCTGGGCTACTTCGGCCTATTTCTCATTCGGTTTTGCAAGGAGGGCAAGTTCTCTGGTAAGAAGGAGAGAAAGAATGTAGGGCAGCCAGGAGATGGGGTGGGCAGGTGTGGGCAGGTGCTCAACCCAGGAGATGCTATAGCCACAGCTGAGGGGCTGGTCACCCCCCAGGGGAACTCCCCAGTATGTGGTCCCTACTACTGTTCTCAGCCCCTGGATCAAAAGTTTGGGGATGGGAGGTTGCATCTGTGTTCAGGGTGAGCTGGGGGCAAGCAGCTCCAGAGAGGTAGCATGGTCAGGAGAAAGACAGCAGATCTTTCCAGTAACTGTGCTTCCTCTTGTGCCTGCCCCAATCCCAATCCTGGTGTCCGTCTCCCTTCTACCCTTGCCCTTTACCCTCCCCTTTACCCTGACCACCAGCCATGCCACAACCCCCTTGTGAATGGAGTGCTACACTTCAGGCATCAGGAGATTCCATCACAGCATCCAATCTCCTTGTTAAGGAATATTTGCTATAAAATGTGGGTGATATAAATAAGTTCTTAGATTCTTAAAAAAAAAGAGGTAATGAGATAGTGAAAGATGAAAGATGACAGTACACTTCACGTAGCTTTTGTTTTTCTCTACAGTGCATTTTAGATATTACAAGGTTTTTTAGTTGTGAAATGGTGTCAGTTATCTCAAAGTAGTTCAATATGTTCTCAAGAAGCTGTGGGGAGGTGGTTTAGAGTTGGAAGTTTTTGTGTGTTGGCTTGGCCATTAGGAGCTGTGGTGTGCTGGTGAAGGCACTGGACCTCTCTGGACCTCTGTTTCTTCATCTGTATCACAGTGTAAAGTATCCCCTACTCAAGGCACTGGTATTTTATGAAGATCAAATGCTATTTATTTTTTGAATGTACTTCAGAAAGTTAAAAATTACATACAAATGCAAGTGAATATAATTATTGTGATTTTATTCTTTCCAATAGTAATGCTTTATTTTCCCATTTTAAAGCCTCTGTACAAACCACTATTTGTGCTGTTTCAACCAGTAAGACTCCCTTTCCTCTTTCTGTAGTCATGAAAAAATTGGCAGACTTTGAGCTCCCTTATGTTAGTCTTCGAAGTTCTGAAGTGGAAAACTATAAGGTTGGACTCAGGAAGTGGTGAGTAGAATTGACTGTGACAGTAGGTGTTTGAAGATATCTTACTATTGCTGATCAGACCTTGTCAGTCTCTCCATGTCTGACACACAGTCCTACAGCTAGAGAGAGATCAGGAGCTTGGAGAAGGTTAAGAGGAAAGCAATGAAGAAGAGGGGCGGGGGGAGAATGAACCAGAACATTTGTCCTAAAGAAGAGGATGTTGAGGATGATTTTCACTGGTCTCAAGTAAATACTCAAGGGACATTATCATGAGGATGGTGGGCATGTAGGGGTAAGGCTTGAAAAACAAGGTTTGGGGTGGGGGGTGTGGAGATTGAAGCAAGTAATGGTGAGGAATTACTGGCTGTAGGTTTGCTTTGGAAGGGATGACTAATCTATTAATTGAAGAAATTTCTTGATGATGATAAGCAAGTCTGATTTATCTGTTGAACCGTGGAATTTCCTGAAGGCAAAGGGTGGACTCAGCCAACTTGCAGAGAATTTGAACTCTCAGTATTCGGCTTACGTTCCTGAAGATTCTAACAATAAATGCATGTTTACCAGGGCCAGCCATATTCCTAGATTGATAGGACACAAGTGCCTCTCTGCAGAAAATACTATCATTTCCCCCAGAAACAAGGGGCGCTATGGGGAGCAAACAAACAGATAATAACAAGAAGCAAGACACACCTGCTCCCCTCCCTGCCCTCCTGTCTCCATCCTATAGCCTGTGGTTCCCAGTGTGTATGACCATGGCTGTGTCGGATTGCTTCTTTGGTTCACTCTCTCCCAGCCCCGTTATTCTGTCATCGGAGCACAGAAGCTTTAAATAAAAGGCATTTTGAAACCTAGGAATAGTAGTGGTCTTGACCTTGTGAGCCTGGCTAGAGCTCCAGTCTGTGGCTTTGAATTTTGGAAGGACATGCCCAGCAAGGCTAGAAGTTCATATACTGCTATTCAAAAGTATTCCGAGACATGGTCAAAATCTGTGGCGTGGAACCCTGAGAAGGGCAAAGGATGCAGTTCCATCTGAGAGTTTAGACAGTAGCTGTTCTGGAAGCTGCTTAATATAACAAGTGGCTAAGCACAGTTGTTTGGTTCCTCAGATCAGCATATGTAAATCTAAGTCCCAGGGTTTAGCCGAATAACCTTACCCAAGTTATTCAAGCTCGCTAAGCCTGTTTCTTTATCTGTAAAGTGGGAAGAAGAAGAAGAATAGAGTCTATCTCATAGAATTGTAGTGAGCATTAAATAAAGTAATCCCATATGTTCAATAAATGTTGATCATGTTTGTTATTGTTATATCAATTATAATAGTAACAACAACAAAAAAATTCCCTGGAGCTTAGACTGTCTTGCACATAGCTCCTCCAGAGAACTCAAGATCAGAGGTGAGATGAGGATTCTGTCCCTCACCTTGAAGCTTGAACTGGAAATTGGGTTTTGCCTATGTCTTCATTAAATAGATTAATTCTAGATCATAGGTGCAAGTTAAATGACTACCCCATCACGAGCCAGCATCTCAGATCCAGGCAGGTTGCCTCCACTCACGGGAACTGAGAAGAAAGGAGGTCCCGCTTTGGTTGTTAGAGCTGAGGATCAGATCACCAGAAGAGGAGAGCCTGGAGTAGGATCCCACAGGTGCCTCTTTCCAGACTGAGGTCTTACTGGGTGGGAGCAGGGAGGCTAACTCAACGGCCAAGAGCTGTGGGATTCTCAGCAGGTGAGGTCTTGCTATGAGGCCTAGTCGGAGTTTTAGGGATTTTTCTCTGTTTGTGAATTCCCTGGTACATCTCTCTGATGATGAGATGGTTCCTTCCACACTAGAGGGTGCCTGCCCTGGCCTTTCAGAGCCCCATCTGGGATGGGTCTGGGGGCTCTCTAACTTGCTGATGCAACAGTTGCTATTCGCTGCCACACAGGGGCCCCTGGGGTCATGGGTAAAATGGCTAAATGGAATATAAATAGGAATGCTTCAGTTGCTTCTCTCCATCCCCCAGAATGAAGTCAAGCTGCAGTTTTATCCTTTTCCTAGTCTAAGCCAATCCCCTTGGTCTATTAACCCTACGCTTCTGAGTGCAGTGATTTTGTGTACCTCTGCCTTCAGATGGGTTAGAGATCAGCCGTAGCACTCCCTTTCCTAATCGTTTCTGTCAGTTCTTAGCATGTTACTGTGCTTATACAGTAAGTGTAATGTCAGTTCATCCTGATGATTCTGGATCCGTTAGACAGACACGGAGTCCTGTTATTTGCAAGTCACTTTGCCAAGGCCCAGAAGGGCAACTTTGAGTAGGACCCAGCCCCTGGGCTCAGGAGTCTTCACACCTGGTGTCACGATCAACTAGATCAGAGCAGTGAGGAGGATAAACTCAAGGTGCTGAGGAAGCACAGAGAATGGGCTGCTAACACAGCCTTGGGGAGTAGGGCTCAGAGGAGGGGACGTGAGGCTGAGGCTTGCAGGGAGAGGCGGATAAGTCAAGGAAGGAGGTTAGTGAGCGGAGTGGTCTTCCAGGCAGAGGGAGAGAAAAGAAAACATGGTTGGAATGTAGTGTGGTGGAGGGAAGTGCGGCAAGAGATGGAACTGAAAATGAAAGCAGGGGTTTCCCATGAAGGGCTTGGGAAATGAGCAGGAAAAATGACCTAACTCCTGGGACTATGAGAGTCTGAAAGGTTACTTGGGAAAGACCACTCTGGTTAGAATGTGGAACATGGGATGGAGGGAACACGACTGAGACAGAAATCCTGGTGAGGAGGTTACTGGAGCAGGTCAGGCAAGAGATGAGGGTGACCTGGGTACCGGGCAGATGAATGTGCCGGCTATTGTAGGGTGGGGAAAGGGCATGCAGGACTTGGTGACCAAGAATGGGACTGAATGTGAATAGGGATGCAGACCATTCCCCTAAAGCTTTACTCTGAGAGCCCACCAGGCAAGAGCTTACAGTATAAAGAAAATAGGAAACAGAAGAGGTAGGGGGACAAATCGAAGACTAGGTAAGTAGAGGAGTGTGGCTTTGTTAGGAAAGGGACCTTGATTCAAAGTGTGGAGGGCCCCACTTCAGAGAGCACTTGCTCCCAGGGGTGCCATCAGCCATGTCATGTGAATTAACTTAACGCTCCTGAATTATGCAGGTACATGGATCCAGCCCTCGATTCCATGCTGATGGACTGCAGAGCAGCTGTAGATTTGCTCTATATGCAGGTGAGGGTAACCAAGAACTATCAGAACATCATATATCATAGGCCATTTGGGTTTGAAACCGTTAGAAAATAATTGGTAGTAGTTAAGAATTCTACCTCCATACCTAGAAGAGGCATATTCATAGGGACAGACAGTAGAATAGAGGTTACCAGGGGCCAGAGGGAGGGGAGGAATTATTATTTAATTGGTACAGAATTTTTGCTAGGGATAATGAAAAAGTTTAAGTATAGATAGTGGTGATGGTTATACAACACTGTGAATGTGTTTTATGCCACTGGATTGTACACTTACTAAGAGTTAAAGTGATACATGTTGTGTATATTTTACCATAGGGGGAAAAAAAAAGAAAAGAAAAAAGAAGTAGAGGAGTTTAGAGGGAAAAAAAAGAATTCTACCTCCATTTTAACAACCCCTCTGAATTTGCAGCTGACACTCCATCATCTAGGCTAATTTACATGAACCTAGAAGGATATGTCTGATAATTTAAAGTCACACATGGTCCCTAAATCTCACTTTGGCATGATCATTTTCCCTGAGCCAACGAGTAGCACACCTGTCCCCAGGGCCAGCTTCATGGTCACGTGGCCTGTGAAACTGCAGTGGGCCTCATGCTCCGAAGGGCCCCACGCTAGTTTAATGCTTTGCTGTCACATCTTGAAATTCTATTTTGGAACAAGGGACCCCCCCATTTTATTTTGCATTAGGCCCTGCAAATTATATAATTGGTCCTACCTACCCCTCACTCCCTCAGCCCCCAGAAAAGTAAATTTAGAGTTTGGCCTCTCTTCCTTTCTCTGACTCAGTGGTGAAGGTTCTGCTAAGCCGTGGAATGATCAGCAGATGCTGCATCCGTGATACCACTCCAGTCACCCCCCTCCTCAGTTCTCCCACCTGCTCCACCAGCTCCCTGCAGTGCTCACCCTCACCAAGTTGGAGGCCTGAGCCTTTCCCACGCCTCACTTGACCGTTCTGGGAGGGAGGTTTGAAAACTTCTTTGAAGGAGTTCCATAGGAATGTTCCACAGTCTGTTCTCAAGCAGCAGCAGAGTGGTGGGTCAGATCCTTACCCTGTTCAAAGCTCCCAAGGCTGTCCATCTCACTCAGACCAAACCCCAAATCCTGGTGCATTTGCTTTATTTTCCCCTTAGCATTTCCACCATTTGACATTTTATATATTTGTATATATTATATGGATATGTGTGTGTGTTTATATACATTTTTAAAAATCTGTTTACTGTCTCTTTCACTACTAGAATGATTTCTCCATAAAAGCAGGTATCTGTTTGTCACTGCTGTATCCCCAGAAATGAGAATTCATCCTGACACGATGTTGGCTTTAAGCTCTGTAGTGGGCCCAACATTGTACTAATTGTTTTAAATGCATTGTTTCATTTAAGCTTCATAATAACTCTGTAAGGCAATTGGTACCATCCACATTTTTAAGAAGGAGGAACATCAAGTTTCCTGACAAAGGATTGAGTAGGCATGGATGTGGAGGATGTAGAAAAGGGATTTAACAATACTTATTGCAGGTGGCTTTTTTGGAGTGGGTTTCTAAGCTGCTGCACTCTGTAGCTTTTCATAAACGAAGGAGGTAGCATTGAAGAAAGGGGAGAAGTGTTGGGTCAGTCGTTACTTTTAATGAGCTTTTCTAGGCATCAAGGAAGCATTAATAGAGCCTCCTGTAGTACTTTGGGTATAGCAAAAAGATAAAGGGGTGGATTTTGATGCTTTGGCTTACTAAAGAGCATAGAAGAGGAAAAGAGCCTCAGCACATCTTCCTTAAGTGACTTTTGTTTTTGTTTTAAGTAATTGCATTGCTTTAATTGTATTGTTTTAAGCAAGTCTTCATTTTGGAGTGGTTTGTTATGCAGCAATAGCTAACTGATACACAGCTGTTCATATTGTTTTCCCTTTAGTTGAATTATGTTTGTTGTTAATATATTACATGTGTTCAGTCTAATTATCATTTAAAATTACTTGAAAAAGTTTACATTATGATTCTGCATGGAATGGGAGTTATCATTTACACAGAAAGGCAAAGAAAGAGTGGCAGGGTTCCTTTTTATATTAGAAAAACAAATGTTCATCTATGAAGAAATGACCACAGTTCCATATTTTCTTGCAAAGCAATAACCAGGTGCTTTATGTGCCTGGTGAGAGGAAACTGCTCTGTTTTATACTGAGATATATGCAAAAGGACTGCCTAGCACAAGCCAAGCAGTACAGCCAAAGGCAGGAGAAATCGCCAAATGCCTCAGAAGAAATGAAAGCAATTACCAGCCAGGAGAGACTTGCATGACCAGTTCATGCACCGTACAGTGCTGTCATGCGGCACTGTGTCATAACTTAATTGGCAGTGTTTTTTCTTAGTGTCACACAAAATCATGGTATCTTAGAATCAATGGTATCTTCAATTTGACAAAATAGAGCATCATTTGTGTATGTATCTCCCCCACTAGACCACCAGCCCCATGCCAGGACCTTGGCTTTTTCAGCACAAGGCCAAGAACCTGGGTGCATAACTGAGCAGACACAATGGATTCTAGCAGTTAGAATGTCAGATGAGGTCACAACCTTAATGCCCTTTCCTCTTTAGGTGACTTTTTAAGAGACCACAACCGTCTAATATATCATTTCCACAAAGCTTTTCTAAATCCTAAGGAGGCAAATCAAAATAGCACTTATTAAATGTTTAATGTTCACTATTACATTTTTATGGCTAGAATATAGTTTTGAGTTCATTTCGTTCAGTGTACTTATACCCATGTTATATGAGTTGGAACATAATTTACCATTTTAAATGTTTACTGAGGCTCATGGCCATTGTATCCCTGCTGTTATGATACATTAGTAGTTGTGTCTGGTTTATTTGATATGATATCCTTGGTTGAGAATGCATCACTAATCCTAATGTTGCTCCTGTGGGAGACAGAGTCTTATGGCGTGGTTTCCAGGTTACATTGTGGTAAGAGGTAGGAACTGCCAACATCATAATATGATTTTTATCTGTCTTCATTAAGGAGTTGTAAACCAGAGAGAAATGGGTGGTAATTCCTCTGCTGATAGCTGGAAAAAAGATGGCTTCTTGGAAAGCACACTGAATTACAGTTTCAAAACTGCGTTCTGTCTCTTGCTCTGCTACTCTCTCTCTCTCTGTGTGACGTGGGCCTGCCACTTCATCCTGGAACTGGAACTATAATGTTCCCCGTTAAGTGATGATCTTAGACAGTCTAAGTTTTCCCCAAGCTTTAATAAAATGTTATTCAAACCTTAGCTCTTTGCCTGGCAAAGTCTTCAAAAAATTGTAATTGATGTCATAATAATCTGTGCCATTATCATCATCGTCTTTATTATTCCCTGAATCCGAGTGGAGGTACTGAGAAGTCAAAAGAGGTTAGGGGCTCAAGGTCAGCAGAAGGCTGAGGACCATAGTTGCTGCCTCCTTTAGGAAGCCTTCCTTGGCTGCCCCAAAAGATAATGCCTCTCTGCTCCCTGGGTACTTTGTTTATACCATCTGTTATGGCACTTCTCACCCAGCATTGTAAATACGTATCTCCCTCACTAGGCTGAATGGCCAAGGGCAGACTGTGTCCTGGGTGCTTAGGATGTGTGAGTGAGTGAGAAGCAATCATCCTTTTAAAAAGTTAATGCAAAAAGTTCTTAGAGTTCTTCTGACTGATGACAGTGCCATAATAATTGACTATTAAGGGATACCCTTTTGATTTTTCTAAAGCAGATGTGCCCAGTGATGTCCCACGAGCCAAGTAGACTCCCACAATGTGTTTCCTTTCTTCTTCTTCTTTAAAATTTGAGTGACATTAACAAAATGGAAGATCACATATAAAAGTATAAATTTCTGGACTTTCTCAAAAATATTGAGGCTCCGTTAATTCTGGGCCTGCATTTCAGCAGGGCCACGACTGGCCTGTACGATAACTTTGTGCAAATTAGAAAAAGGTGCCCCTTCCTCCAGGTGGGCCTGGACCCGTGTCGGGGCCATGGCTTGGTGAGGGGAGCATGGGCTGACCGGTAGCCTCCTAACACCCCCAGGGCCCGGCCTGCTCACACCGGCCTGGCCTTGCTCGGCTGTGCCTCAACCGGCTGGGGCTGAGGGGCTGATGCCTTGTTTAAACAGTGCTCTCCATTTCCCACTACTCTACCCTCTGCAGAGGGTACCGGAGCACGTGTGATTGAAGCTGATGAAAACCATGGCTTATGTGATTTCACTCAGTTTAAAAATTAGATTCCACATTAGTCTCCATCAGCCAGTCTTCGGGGAACCATATCACTGCGTAGAGACATTTGTCTAAACCTGACTTGCTCATTGTCTGGAGCGAGGTACTGTATATAATGTATTTGAGTGATGACTTGTGAACCCATAATCTGGGTCAAATCTTTTCAAAGGTAGTGAAACAAAAACAGTTATGTTCCCTCTGTTGCAGGACATTTAAATCTCTGAGAGTCCCGGGTGCCCTGATGATGAACAGTGTGTCGTCAGTTAGTCCTTACTGCCACGATTGCTGTTCACCTTCTTTATTGAGCCATGCTTTCTCTTTGTTATCATGCCCTGTGCTAACAGGCTTTACAGGACTCGAACATCACATAGAATTCAGGAAAGAGAAAGGTGTTTAGTTCCTCACGCCCATGTTGTTTCCATTCTGGTATAGTATCTAGGTTCAGTTTTGAGAACAGTTGGTGACCAGGAGAAAGTCTTGGGGTGGGTAGCACCTACATGCTAAGAATTCAGTGGCTTGGGCAAGGGTAGGAGGGCAAGGGGTAGTGGTCAGATCTGGCTTTTAATCCAACTCTTGCCATTTACTTGCTGGGTTGTCTTGAAAGTCATAACCTCTCTGGACCTCAATTTACCCATCTGTAAAATAGGGGTAATGTTCCTACCCCACAGAAGAGTTTGGAAAAAGTCAATGAGAAAACCTATCTAAAACAGGTTCTCAACAAATAATAGTTGTTTTTCTTCTTTCTAAACCCATCTCCTTTTCAACCAATCTAAACAGCAATGACAACAATTTATTCTCCTCTTAGAGATAAGGCATAACCTGCCAATATCACTGAGGGACGTAACACATAGACTTACATTCAGACTAAGGTGTAGATAAGCACCTGGTAATTGGCAGAATTATTGAGTGTTTGCTGTATGTAAGACATTGGACAAGATACACTGAGGTGAAGGGCATAGGGTCTTCCCTTGAGGGGTCAATAGTCTAACTGAAGACCAATGGAAAACTTGTTTAAAGCATGATAATAGCACAGACTAAGGGGATGCAGCTAATGAGATGGACAGCTAACACCAGAGCCTCCCGTGGGGCCAGGCCAGATAAGGGGGAAGGGAGGCAGGGTGCCAGGACGAGAAGGGAAGAGCACAGAAAAAGGAGCTTAGAGCTTAAGGACGATCCAGGGGGCAGTTGTCTTCAGGTGATTGCTGCCTCTGAGCCCAGTGTTTTTCTGCTGAAACCTGCAGTGTGGATTAGGAAACAGAACATTATGAATTTGGAGTTTGGGACCACTCGCTGGTAGCAGTTACCCAAAGCTGAGCACACAGGGCCCAACAATGTATTCACTTTTAATTTATTTTAAAAATTGTAAAATTTGTTTTCATCTTATAAAAAATTTACAAATAGAGCTCAAAAACAAAAGTAAATGTCATTCCAAATCTTCGATCGATCATAAATATAAACTCAACTTTTTTGGTGTATTTATTTCTTATATTTTTCATTTATGTGCACATCCATTTCCTTGATTCAGAAGTATGCATGCAAGGTTTTTTTGTGTTTTATGTTTTTTTATTTCATAAAAGTTGGGGTCTACTACTATGCCCTTATTTTGTAACTTGTCGTTTTTTTTCATGTATCACAACATCACAGAATTTTCCTATGTTGTTAAATATTCTATACAATTTTTAGTGGTAGCATAACCCATTATTTGGTTGTACCCAAACTCTATCGCCTATTTTGGGGCATTTCATAATAGACCTATTTCATAGGGTAGCTGTAAGTATTGACTTTTGTTTTAGAGCAGTTAGAACATTGCCTGACACACAGTAAACACTATACATGTGTTTGCCACTATTAAGAGTTGAAATTTTTCAATATTACAAACAATAGTAGTAATAGCCTTATCAATATGTTTTTCCCACGTCTAATGTTTATCATTCCTTTGGGTGGTTTTAGATTTATACTGCCAAATCACCTCCATAAAGTTGTACCAATTTAAATCCCATTAGTTCAATATGGAACTTCCTGTTCCCCCAAACCCTTGCCAACTCTGAATATTATATATTTTTTAGTCTTTACCAAGTTGAGCAGCAAAAAAATTTTTTAATTACTAGTGAGCTTCAATATATATTTGTCATTTGGAGTTCCTTTTTGTCAATTGCTGATACACATCCTTTGTCTGTTTTCCTATGAGGGATTTTTCCTATTGCTTTATATAAATATTATTCTTTGTCACTTAGGATACAGTCATTTTCCCTGGTTTTCCATTTGCTTCCTAGTTTGTTCTTGGTGGTTTTATGTACAGAAGTTTTATATTTTCATGTAATTATATATTCCTTTATATGGCATTTTGTCTTTGTATCTTAAAAAGATATTCCCTACCTCAAGGTCAGATAAAAATATTTTCTTCTGGTTCTTTTATGGTGTTTTACATTTAAATCTTTAATTGGTCTGGGTTTCTTCAATTGGATGGGGTGGGGAAAGAGCTACCTTGGTTTTCTTTCCCAAGTGCTGCCAGTTTTATCCCCAAACCATTAAACAATCTCTTCCTGCACCCACTAATTTAAAAAGTAACCTTTATAATGGGCTAAATCCTTATATATGTCCACTTGGGTCTATTTTTATAGCCTTTCATATATGAGTATGTTTTTGTCAGATTAATTCATTTCTGCTAAGTTTGCTAATTTGACAATGTATGTTGTTTTAAGGCAATCCAGGACATTGAAAATGAATGGGCCAAACCCACACAGGTGCAGAGGCAGAAATTAGTGGCTCTCCAGAAAGAAGACAACCAAACACAGGTGAATCAAGTATTGCACCAAGAGAAATCCCTTGGGAGGGAGTTAAAGAAACATATTGGAATTGAGCTATAAATTTCTATAATTTATAAAGCCATCAAGCACTAAGAATGGAGCTCTTTTTAAAAATGAGAAAGCTTTCATTGATTTTTCTGGTTATAAAATTAATAAAAGCTTATTGTTTAAGGATACTAAAAAATATAGACAATATAATGTGAGTGCTTTGCCAAGTTAATTAATATAGACCCTCAACATTATTTTTAACAACCACAGAGTATTCCATTTTAAATTATAATTTAGCTATCATAAATCATTAGGCATTTATGTATTGTCTAGCCAATTTCCTATTATTGGAAGTCAGGTTGTTTCTAGTTTTTGCTGCTATAAATCACTTTGGCAGCGAGCACCATGAGGCCCAAGACTGTGTGTAATTTATACAAACCCTGTGTGTTCCCAACACCTGTACGGTTCCTGGTTGAAGGTCCCTGAACACTGCAGCCAACATCCTCTGTCTCTGAGTACGTGTTCTATTATTCTTTAGGATATAGTATTTCTAAACGTCCATTTTTAAAGATTCTATAAAGATGGTACCAACTCACACACGCCCCGTCCCCAAGCAGTGTATACAAGTCTGACAAGACATATTTTAACAGAAGAAATGGCCTCTGTTTCATTATGTTGTCTTTTTTATTCTTTAGACTTTGCCAGTGTTTACCACTAATACATTGATTTAGAGCAAAATGAAAACAAAATTTAGAGGATTTGTTTATACTTAGGTTGATATGGAAAGTAATTCTTCAAAGTCTGCAATATTTTGAGAACTATATTGATTAGCTGCAAGAACAGAAAAGGAAAAGGAAAAAAGCATATACTGCCATGATTTAGTGTTTTTCCTCCTTGGTATTCCACCGCGGCTTTGTCACACAAATTTTGGAGTTCAGTTTCTCTGTGTATTTGTAAATTTTGATAATTGTAGCTTCTATTTTGATAGGTAGAATATTGCTGGTACTTTGGATACAATTACAAATTCTAAGTCTAAGTCTATTTCTGCTCTATAAACTTTGTACTAATTTAGTAAGAATATTGCTTTTACCGTGTGCTATGCTCTACCAAAATTTGGATTTGTATTTTTGCCAAGAAACAAATTTTATTTTCTATGGTGAACATTTTACCTAATTTTACCATACTATTTGTCATAGTGATCTATAAAAAACTTTACCTTGAGTGCATGAATTAGATGAAAAAAATTGAACCATTATTCAAATTAACTGATTTTCTCTTGAAGCATCTAAGAATACTAATATAAAACCAGCATTATTTAAGTGTTTGTGAAGTTCTTCTCCTGCTAATGGAGCCGGCATATTAACAACTATTGCTTTGCTTTATGTACATGTACAAGAAAACTTGGAATTGAAAACGAGTGAAATTAATTTAAAGGAGCAGTCATTTGATCTAAATCAGAGATAGGCTAACTATGGCCCAAGGGCCACTGTTTTCAAATAAAGTTTTATTGGCACATAGCCATGCTTATTCATTTATGTATTGTCTAAGGCAGCTTTTGTGCTGGAGTGGTAGAAGTGAGTAGTTGTAATACAGACCATATATCTGCAAAATCAAAAATATTTACTATATGGCTTTTTACAGAAAAGTTTGCCAACCCCTGATCTAAATGAAAATATATAAACATACCATCTGCAGTTATATGTGTTAAATTATCTTTTGTAGTCTTCTTAAAAAGAACTAATTTTCGGGTAGATAATCCTTGTAGATTTCTGTCTCCTGGTTTTCATGGAGTCAGTAATGTCGCCACACCCCCTTGTTGAATGACAAATGCCAACAAGCATTTTGAGCAAGTTATTTATTCATCACCAACTTTCTTGAGAAATGGAGCTTAACTTTTAATTAAACAAACGGTTTCATCTCTTTTAGAGCATTGCAGCCTGAATTTATTACAGATTTTTTTTAAGTGTTACCAAATAACAAAATAAACAATTAAAGATTTATACCATATAATAAATAAGAAACTTTTGTAGCAAGATCATAAAACTATCCTGTATACTCTGTGGCAAGATTACTCAGCCCCTGCCCCCACCCCCAAACCCTGTCATTCCTGATGTTGCTCACTGACCCAGCGGGAGGCCTTAATGCACCTCCTGAGTTGAATGCATGGGCCGCAGCACAGTGAGCTGATACAACATGTATCTGGGTGGGACAATAACCTGGAATAGCTCTGCCACCTTGTACCAAGAGTCAGCTGTCCCTCACCACACGTGTCTCCTCACATTTCACTTTATCAGAGAGCACTTCATGTAGTGCTTGAAAGGGCAGTGTAAGTTACCTCACTTCAAGAAAGGATCGGGAAAGAGCCAGGTTGTCACTGGGTGGTCTTCTTTCAGATTCAGCCATGTGTTAACGTGAGAACTCCCTTGTCTGCACACACATCTCCCATACCATCAGGCAGGACCATGGTGAAAGCTGGAAGTACAAGGTGGAGGTCACCAAACTGATATCAGATTATTTAAATCAATTGTTAATAATCACTTTGTTAAAGAAATGAAAAGTCGGGGCCAGCCCAGTGGCATAGTGGTTAAGTTCGTGCCCTCTGCTTCAGCATTCTGGGGTTCGCAGGTTCAGATCCCGGGCACAGACCTACACACCACTCATCAAGCCATGCTGGGGTGGCATCCCGTATACAAAATAGAGGAAGATGGGCACAGATGCTAGCTCAGAGCCAACCTCCGTCAGCAAAAAGAAGAGGATTGGCAACAGATGTTAGCTCAGGGCCAATCTTCCTCACCAAAAAGCCAAAAAACAAAAACACCCAAAAAGTCCTCAATAGACATTAACAGCACAGGATGCCAGGACCACAGGTGTGAACAACTATGCTCTGTTCTTAAGTCATGTCAGAAGCAGAGGGAAAAGCAAAACCTTAAATGTCACATAAAAGTGTTCCCTTGGCGCTTTGGGGCTGTCCAGGGCTCTACTTAAAAAGCAGACTCACTTTTGCTCTCATTTCACTGCCATTTCCAAAATCTCTTTCTCTGACAGTTAATACCATCATCCTACAAAGCAGCCTGTAAAAGTGAGCTACTTTCCTCTTACATAGATCTCAGCTTGGTTTTTTAAAAGGTGGCATTTTAAATGTACACTTTTTATTTTGCTATTATAATCGGTTGAGATAGAATCGTATCTACTCATTCATTTGATTCCCTCTGCTTTCCTTCACTCATCATTCACACATCGAATATTTCATTCCCACTCTGTACCAAGCACTGTAACGGTAGCAGGGACACGATGGTGAACGAGGCAGAATTGGTCCCTGCCCTGGCAGGACACACCATGAACTTCCCAGGCCTTATTGTCAGAGAGTGCCAGGGGCATTGTCTTCATTTGTATTGACCGCTTTCACCGTGACTCAATTCCATGTGTTCTAGAATGGCAGTAGCTTCTGACATGAGATTTTCATCTGCTTCAAGTGGTCTTTTGCTTCCTCCTACCTCCACCCCCACCCCTTAGGAGCAGTTTTTGGAGCTGTCCCGGGAGGTACGGCACTATGGATACGTGCAGCTGGATCCTTGTACCTGTGACTACCTGGAACCAGGCTGTGGGGCCATTGTTTCTGTTGGCAATAACGAGATCAGCTGCTGCATAACCCTGCCTGATAACCAGACCCAGGACGTCATTTTCCAGATGAACAGAGTGAAGTGCTGGCAGGTCACTTTCCTTGTGAGTATCTTGGCACTGCCTCACCCATGATTTAAAGTCTCCATCCATGATTTAAAAATCCCATTGTTCTTGGGTGACAAAGCTGGCCCTAGGGAGACAGGTCTGCCATTTGAATCAGTATCTTGAGAGGACTAGCATCTAAGCCACAGTAAGCATCAACTAGTGGTAAAACCTATTTATTATCTGGTACAAATTTCCCACACATAGCAGTAAAGACACCAATCTTCCCACCATCCAACAACATCCTTCTCTACTGCGCGAAGGGTGGTAATAACAGCTATATAACTATAGTAATAACAGTACATAGAAATAGCAGCTACCATTTATTGAGCACTTAATATGTACTCCATACGGACAAGATCTCTACCTGTGGAAACTGAATGCTGACCAGCAGAGCTGTACTTAAGGGTCCCTGGCATCATACCTACATTGCTATCTCCTCCCAAGAGAAACCCTTATGACCAGATTTATTGAGTGCCTACTTTGCACCAAGTGCTGTGTGAGACAGTGCCACATGTATTATTAAATTCTTACAATAACTCAGTGAGCTAAGTAGGCTTATACCCTTTACACAGGAACCTGAGGTTAACTAGTAGAGGGCAAAGGCTAGAGAGCAACCATGACACCCAGTTGCTAAATCCATGGAATCCATGGGATTTTTTACCTGGCTCAGTAAGAGGCCTATCTGGCATCGGATGCTGTCAACCATTTCTTCCTTCTCAAAACTCCCTCTCCTTCCTCCCCTAGTTTTGTGGGCTGCTTCTCCCTCTGACCACTCCTAAAATGCTGGTGTTTCCTGGGGTTCCATTTCTAGCATCTTACCTCTACGTATCCTCAGTTACCTGAGGTCCAGTATTTCTTACTGCCTTCTGGACGTCTTCACCAGGTGTCTCACAGACATCTCAAACTTAGCCTTTCCCCAAACCAGACTCATCCTTTCTCCCTCGTGCCCATCCTAGGGCTCTTCCTCCTGTGATCCCCATCTTGGTAAATGGGACTTCCACCACCACCTCTTAATTGCCAAACCTGTAAGCTTGAAATTATCCCTGACTTTTCTCTGTCTCTTACCCTGCATGTTTAATTGCTGATGGAGACCTGTCTGTTCTACAGCCCTGCTCTTCCTCAAAACGCTCCCTTTCTCTCCACCCTCACGGCTTGGTCTCAACGTTTCCTGCCTGGATGAAATCCAACAGCCTCCTAACCGTTCTCCCTGCCCCCCGTCTTTCCCTTTTGGGGTCAGAGAAAATACATCATATGATGTCAGTCCTTTTAAACTTACGGGAACTTGTTTTGTGGCCCAAAATTTGGTCTATCTTGGTAAATGTTCCATGTGCACTTGTAAAGAGTGTGTGTTCTGCACCTATTGGGTGGAGTGTTCTGTAAATGTCAATTACGTAAAGCGGTTGATAGTGTTCAAATCTCTTGTATCCTTATACATTTCTCTCTACTTGTTCTATCAGTTATTGAGAGAAGAGGACCATTACGACCTTTAAGTATTATTGTGGGTTTGTCTATTTCTTTGAATTTTATCAGTTTTTTTCCTCTTTTCCTGCCTTCTTTTGATTAACTATTTTATGATTCCATTCATTTGCACCATTGTTTTTTGTTTTTTAGCTATACCTTTTTTATTTATTCATGGTTACTTTAGAGTTTTTAATACACATCTTTAGTATGTTACAGTCTACTTTCAAAAATTATACCACTTCACAAAAAGTGTCAAAACCTTACAATAGTGTTCTTCTATTTGCCCCTCTGTCTTTTGTGATATTTGTTGCCATACTTTATTTCTACATGTATATGTCTCATGCTACATTATAATTATCTTTACTTTAAATAATTATTTTTTAATTTAACTTTTTATTTTGATATAATTTCAGACTCATGTGCAATTGTAAGAAATGGTACAGAGGTCCTGTGTACTCTTTCGCCCCTTTTCTCCAATTGTTACATTTTGCAAAAACTGTAATACAATATCACAACCAGAATATTGGCATTGATACAATCAAGAGGCAGAACATTTCCGTCACCACAAGGACCCCTCATGTTGGCCTTTTATATCTACACCCACTTTCTCCTGCCTCGCCCCTCCTTAACCCTTTGCAACTGCTAATCTGTTTGCCATTTCTACAGCTGTGTCATTTCAGGAATGTTATATAAAATTTTTGGAGGTGATGGATATATTTATTACCTTGATTGTGGTGATGGTTTCATGGGTGTACACATATATCCGAACTCATCAACTTCTATACATTAAATACGTGCAGTTTTTGTATATCAATTATACCTCAATAAAACTTAAAAATAAAAAAAAGAAACATATAAAACAAGATTATGTATTGATCAGTTGATGAAAATATTGTGACCAGAGTTTTGCAGGAACTTAACCCTGTATTTCCCTTGGGGCAGTGATTCAGTACTCAGTAATGCAGTGTTTATGGTGATTTTATAGAACATGACTACCGTGAATAATAAGAATCAACCGTATTTAGGAGGTAAAAATATAAATAAAAGCAAGGAATTGATTACCTTAAAAAAGAAAGAATGCTATATAAATGGAATCATACTATATGTAGCCTTTTGAAATTGGCTTTTCTTTACTCAGCATAATTCTTTGGAAATTCATCCCAGTTGTTGTGTATATCAGTAGTTTGTTTCTTCTTATTGCTGAGCAGTATTCCACAGTGTGGAATGGCCAAAATTTGTTTAACCATTTACCCAATGAAAGATTTCTGGTTGTTTCTAGTTTTTAGCTATTATGAATAAAGCTCCTATAAATATTCATGTATAGGTTTTTGTCTGAGCACAAATCTTCATTTCTCAGGGATAAATGTCCAGGAGGGCCATGGCTGGGTCGTGTGGAAGTGCGTGTTTAGTTTATTAAGAAACTGCCAAACCGTTTTCAAGAGTGGTTGTACCAGTTTACATTCCTACCAGTGATGCATGAGTGACCCAGTTTCTCTGCATCCTCATCAGCATTTGGTGTTGTCACTGTTTTTTATTTTAGTCATTCTGATGAGTGTGTAGTGGTATTTCATTGTGATTTTAATTTGCATTTTCCTCATGGCTAATGATGTTGGCCATCTTTTCACGTGCTTATTTACCATATCTTCTTTGGTGAAATGTCTTTTTCCCATTTTCTAATTGATCACTTTTTTACTGTTGAGTTTTGAGAATACTTAGTATAGTCTAGATACTAGTCCTTTGTTGGATATGTGGTTTGCAAATATTTTCTCTCACTCTGTAGTTTTTCATCCTCTTAACAGGATCTTTTGCAGAACAGGAGCTTTTAATTTTGATGAAGTCTTAATGCATCCATTTTTCCTTTTATAGATAGTGCCTATAGTGTCAAGTCTAAGAATTCTTTACGAAACCCTATATCCTAAAGAAATTTTCTAAGGGTTTTTTCCCTAAAAGTTCTACAGTGATAGGTTCTACATTTAAGTCCATGATGCATTTTGAGTTAATTTTTATATAGGGTGTGAAACTTAAAACAAAGTTCCCTTTTTTGCCTATGGAAGTCCAACTACTCCAGCACCATTTGTTGAGAAGGCAATTGTTCCTCAATTGAATTGCCTTTGCACCTTTGTCAACTATCAGTTGGGCATATTCGTATGGATCTATTTCTGGATATTCTATTCTGTTCCACTGATCTATGTGTCTGTCCCTCCACCAATACCACGTAATCGTTCTCTTCCTTTGTAACCACTTTATTGAGATATAATTCACATACCATACAATTCACCCATATAAAGTGTCCAATTCAATGACGTTTAGTATATTCACAGAGTTGTGCAACCATCACCACAATCAATTTTAGAATACTTTTATCACCTCAGAAAGAAGCTCCATACCCTTTAGCTGTCACCTCTCTATCCTCCCATTCCCACTAGCCCTAAGAAACTACTAATCTGCTTTCTGTCTCCACAGATTTGCCTATTCTGAACATTTCATATTAATGGAATCATATGTGATCTTTGTGACTGGCTTCTTTTACTTATCATAATATTTCCAAGGTTCATCCTTGTTGTAGTATGTATCAGTACTTTACTCTTTTTCATGGTCAAATAATATTCCGTTGTACGGATATATCAAAATTAGTTTATCCATTTGTCCATTGATGGACATTTGGGTTGTTTCTACCTTTTGGCTGTTAAGAGTTGTACTACTGTGAACGTTTGTGTACAAGTTTTTGTGTGGACATAGATTTTCATTTCTCTTGGGTATATATCTAGGAGTGGAGTTGCTGGTAACACTACTGTAGTGGTAACTCTATGTTTAACTTTGTGAGACTATTTTCCAAAGTGTCTGCTCCATTTTACATCCCCACCAGCAGTGTATAAAGGTTCTGATTTCGCCACATCCTTGCCAGTGCTTGTTATTATCTGATTTTTTTTTTAAATTATAGCCATCTTAGCGGATATGAAGGGATATTTCTTTGTGGTTTTATTTCAATATTTTTTCTCTCTCTGCTTCATTTGGGGTAGTTTCTGTTGCTATGGTTTCAAGTTCATCAATCTTTCCTTTTGTAGTGTCTAACATGTTGTTTCTTCCATCCAGTGTATTTTTATTTCTAGTATTGTATTTTTCATCTCTAGAAGTTCCATTTGGATCTTTTTTATATCTCCCATTTCTCTCCTTATCATGCTATGTTTTTCTCTAAATTCTTGAATGTGTGGAGCATATTTACAATAACTCTTTTAATATTGTTGTCTACTAATTCCATCGTCTCTGTCATTTCTGGGTCTGTTTCTATTGATTGATTTTCCTCCTGTTCACACAGCATACTTTTCTCCTCCTTTGCATACCAGGTAACTTTTTATGATATGCTGAACATTGTGAGTTTTACATTGTTGAATGCTGGATTTTACTGTATTCTTTTAAAGAGTATTAGACTTTGTTCTGGGATTACCCAAGTAACAATTCAGTTACTTGGGATTGGTTTTATTTTTTTAGGCTTGCTTTTGAGCTTTCTTAAGGCAGGTCAAGAGTGGTCTTTAGGGCCAATTTAGTCCTTTACTCATTAGCTGTCATTCTTAGGACTTTCCCAATGTCTTGTTTATTATGGTCTCTCTACTCTGGTTGACAGAAACACAAACTATTTCCAGGCTGGTGTGTGTGAGCTCCTGGAATTGTTCAACCTACTGCTTTTTAGTGGTTCTTTCCCCAGCCTCACATGCACAGATCATTATTCAGCCAAATATTTGAAAGGAGCTCTCTGGAGCTCTTTCTCTGTATAAAGCCCTCATCCTTGGTCTTCTGCTCCACAAATTCTAACCTCAGCTTCTTCAGACTTTTATCTCCTTCTCCTCAACTCAGCAAGTCCTCTTGGCTCTGTTTCGGTTCCCCTCTCTATGCTGCATCCTGGAAACTCCTCCAGGCAGTCAGCTGGGTAATTGTAGGGCTCACCTCATTCATTTTCCATCTCTCTGGGTTAAGAGTTCTGCATTATCTGTTTAATGTCTGAGAGCAACTGTTTCCTCTTTCATTTTTTACAGTGATGCAGTGAGACCAGTATTTCTAAAATATAAATCTAATTGTGTTATTATCCAGTTTTTAAAATCAGTTAATGAATGCCTATTGCCCTGAAGATAAAGTCCAGACTCCTTAACTTAGCTTCTGAAACCTGTAACAGTTAGCCTTCTTTGGTGGCAAGCAATAGAAACCAACACTTCTGGCTCTAGTGAAAAGAGGGATTTGGGGGAGGGATATGGAATAACCCACTGATTTAAAGGAAAAGCTCAAGCAGAGGCTTAGGAAAGTCAGGGACCAAAGGAGCTCAAGGTTTCTGGGAAACAGGAATTCTTTTTCAGGATTTGTTCCTTGGGTCTCTCTGCTCTGGCATCAGATGAGGGGTGCAGAGAGTATTTGTGCAGTTGGCCTGAGTTTGGGTCATTTGCCACCCTCCAGCAGGGCAGAATTCCCTGATAGTCCTACCTAGGTAGCCACAGTGGAAGAGGGAGGGTTTTCCCAAGGGAATTTGGACTCCGTTACTAGGAGAAAGAGGGATAGATGCTGTATAGCAAAAATCACAGGGGTTCCTACCAGGCTTTCAGGATCTGCCCCCACCCTGCTTCTCTAAGCCTCTCTTCTCACCACTCCCCATGCCTTGCAGCCTGTGCTACACTCAATCCCTTGCCACGTCTCCAACGTACCTGGTTTCCTCATGCCTCAGTGCACTTATTGTTTCTTCTACCAGGAACCACTTGTCACCTCCTCCCCCCACCCCACCCCCCCAAAAAGCCACAAAACCACCACAACAAACTTGGATAGTTTCTATTTCTGCTCAGATAACCCCGCTCTGGGAAGCCTTCCTTTACCTTCCTAGTCTGGGTTAGGTGCCCATCCTGTTTACTTCCATAAACCTGTGTTTGCTTCCCTTATAACACTTATTATATCAAACTATGGTGATTACTTTTATGACTGTCATAGACTGATAGCTTCTTGAGAATAGGGATAGTCTCACTTGTTTTGATATTTTGCCCATCACATAATAGCCACTTAAATGTCTATTGAATATCAAATAATATCTTTTCCTCTGTAGGGAACTCTGCTGAATATGGATGGGCCCCAGCAAACTCTCCACCAGAACTTAGAGCTCAGATTTCAGTATAGCAGGGATAGTCGCTGGCAGTGGTTTGTTATTTACACCAAACAGGTGAGTTCTCAGGGCAGAGCATGAAAACCTTCTCTGCTGAAATGCTCTCTTGCTGCTGGGTGGACATGGCACATTCCCCTAACCCGGTTGGAGCAGGGCACTTAAGTATGCTGTGCATTCTCTTTTGGCCTGTAATGCCTCTTATCTTGTTTGTTTTTTGTTTCATTTTGTTTTATTTTACTAGTCACAATGGCCTTCACATCAGTTAGAAATGAGTTTAGTTACCGTGTAACAGAAGACTCAGCTTTTGACAGTGGCTTAGACCAGGGGTCAGTTTAACTTTTTCTCAAAGGGCCAGATGGTAAATATTTTAAGTTTTGAGGTCGAAATGGTCTCTGTCGCAACTACTCAACTCTGTTGATGTAGCACAAAAGCAGCCATAGACAATACATACACAAATGGGTACAGCTGTGTTCCAATAAAATTTTATTTACTAAAACAGTTTGGAGGCTGGATTTGTTTGCCAGTCCCCGGCTTAGACAATACAGATTTTTATCATCTTAGTAAGAATACTGGAGATAGATGATTGGCATCCCTATCATTCTCTTGATCTTTTCCAAGCAGATAAAAGCTATTCCTTTTATCTGGAAAGCAAAAGCTTTACCCCAGAAGCCCCCAGTAGAGTTTCCATTATGTCTCATTGGCCAGAACTGGGTCACATGACCACTCCTAGCTGCAAGGGATTCTGGGAATCAAGTATTTAGCAAAGAGGAACAGGATTCATGATCAGCTTAGAGTAAGCATGAGTCATTGCCTAGAGCTGGGCACTTTGTCCTCCCAAACAAAATCAGGATTCTGTTAGGAGGGAAGAAGGGCTGTTGGGTAGCAAATTGTCTGTTTCTGCCACAGGCATGTAACTAAAATTGGAATAAAAATCCTAAGAAAAATAGAATTTTCTAAACACTAAATTCAATTGAAAAATTCTTTTTGCTCAATTAACTTAGGCTATTTCAAATTGGAATCAAAACTACAAATGTTCTAAAATGAAATAAAAATAACCAAGTAATATTTACATCAACATTACATTCGACTTGAGTCCCTGGTGATCATATTAAGTTCCATGGAGTATTCTGGTTTCAGGTAACCAAAGTTCCCTTTCGACTCTCTACTTCTAGGACAGTTGTGATCGTGAGATTATAGATATCAAAGTCCCCTGAAAAAGACGAAGTACTAAATCAAAATCCTAGGTTAAAGAAATGGGTCCTCAGGTTCACCTTGAATATGAACCATCCTTAGGGAAAGGGTAGGATGGTTTGCTGAGGCAAGATCTGCAGTCACTTGGAGAGACACAGAGAGATTTTGGCAATGAACCTCCTCCCACCCCCCCACCCCCTCTGCCAATGCTAAGTGCCGTAGTTAAATTTTATTATGGTCTTTTAATCTAGTCTGTAGCAGATGAGTTTAAGCCACTATAGAGAAGTGCGATAAACGTACTTTTAAAGGATTCCTAGTAAGGTCTTATTTCCTTTGGAGTGTGAGTATCCACCCAAGGGCTACTTCTTCAAAAGGCAGAAATGTGGCTTGTGTGTCTTGCAAATACAAATGAGGGCTTGTGCCCAGATCTTTTCTAGACTCTTTAAACAGAAGCTTTGTCCCTTTATATTTAATAAACCTTGCCTGGCTTATAGCAGAATCCTAACCTATGTATCTATGTACCTTGTATAGGCGTATGGAATCAATCTGCACCTTGTGAGATACCATTAAACATGCTTCCTAGCTGCATCCGCTCAGGGTTTGTTGTTTAACTATTTCATACCCTGGTTTCGTGTAGGTTACATATATGCACAGATAAACAGGGTTAGTTCTTAGCAAAACCAAGAAGGCAAAATTCATCCTTGTGTATAAACCCCACATCTATTACTCTTTTCCTTCTTGGGGGCAGCACCTCTCTTCTCTCTTCCCGCCTTTCTCTTCCCTTAGATCAAATGAATTCTTGTCATGTTCTACAGTCCTGCAAGACTTTGAGATGTAGCACACCCTCCGTCTAATTCTACTGTGTATGTCCTATTCTCCAAGAGTTTCCTACTTTGGCTACCACCCCAACCTGGTTTTCTCTCTCTCCCTACTCCTCCTCTCCATCATCCCCGTCCAGCGCAGTTACCATCCTTGAGCACAGACTTAGACTAAGGTCCTATAGCCTCAAGCTTTGAGCTTCCGTTGTCTCAAACCCTAGTGGGGCTGAAAGAAGAAAGAGCAAGCCAAGAATTGAGAGCTGGACAAGAGAGCAAAAGGATTCATGGGAAAGGAGCAAATGGGAAAATCATAGGGAACCTTAAGTTCGACACATGGGGATGAAGATCCTGGAACAAGGAAGCCGCTTTTGTGTAGCAAGCTATAAAACTGTGTGTGTCTTCGAGCTAACAACGATGAGCCAACAATAAGCCACAGGTGATATTGGCAGCAACTGTCAGTCTTGAAAGGGAATGATTAAAGATACCAGAAAAATAAGAACGTGAAGAAAACTAATTTTTTTTAGTTCCATAAAAGCCATAAGATGCTAATATATTCTTTCAAACAGACAAATTACTATTTATGCCTAATGATAGATCTCTCAATAATTATGCTTACAATTAAATATAAGATTGACCATCATCAGTTTATTTGGTTACAATAATAAGCAGTTTTTATTATTTTTTGCTCATAAAATATGAGCTGCTTACATAGTGGTAGAAAAAAATGGGATGTAAGGGGGAAGTTTTAAGAGGGAAACAGATTAGTAATGAGATCCTGGCCATTTTTCATCTCTCTTTTAAAAACTTAGGGTAAATATATTCATGTGACTGGGAAAATTTATGGTTACATGCTAATTATGTCTTATGCAAATTTATGGAAATTAAAGAAATCTAAATTTTTGACAGTGTACTGTTGGAGAGCAGAGCTCAAAATCTGCCTGTGGTGTAAGGAGGGAAGGAAGATAATGAAGATCTCTTCAGTTGAGAGAGTTCTTTATTTCTGAATTTCTTAGGCTTTTTTGCTGAGTAGCTGCTTGAAAAAGATGATCTCAGAAAAGATGGTAAAGCTAGTTGCAGAGAATCCAGAAATGGTAAGTACCCTAATCTATGTATATTTTTCAGTTTAAGTTCCCACCAGCAGCTGACACAAAACTACACTGATGAATTCCCTGGGCCGCCTAGCCTGAGCCTCAAGTGAGGAATCCACCCGCCCAGGAGTGAGCTTCTCTGCCCTCTGTGAGCTCAGGCTGTAGAATTCAAGCCATTTTTTCCAATGAGAAGTTGTCCTTGGATTGCTGAGCACTCTCTAACCCTTGACTCTGTATCCTTATATTTCTGCCTTCCCCCAAATGGAGGATTCTGGATTTACCATACAAGCTTCCAGATTTATCAGAAAGTCAGGATCTTGAGAGGTCTTTAACACAGCAGCAATGATCTTAAATAAGCTCTACAGTTTTGTCTCTAGAAAGAACTCACAGCCTCTTGATGCTTCCACTGTGCCAAATTAAAATGCCTCTAGCAGTTGGGATAAGCCATTGAGTAAAAGAAGCTCTCGAGGCTGTTATTTTTCTCAAAGTAAAATTAAACTTTGTTTTTCTAGTCTACATGTTCAACAAAGGCCCAGTAACTCATTGAAAGTCTTGGTGGCAGGCTATAAAATGAGTTACTGAGATTTTAAACTTTTCTACTTGCCTCGTCATCGTCATGATATAAGCATGTCCCAAATAAGACAGTACAGTTTGATTTTAAAAAATGATTACAAATACTAATGCCTGGTTGACATTTATAAACATAATGCAGAATATTACACTGATCTTTAAAAAATACAACAGAAAAACCTTTGGAAATTTTCTCTAATGTTTTCATTTAAATTTAGTCCTTTATAAAGATAACATCTTTAATTTAACATTGATTTTTACTTGATTTTGCAGCTTTTTTCCAAGAAAATGGTTGCATTTTATACTTATTTCTCTTTCTTCTACAACTGAAAATATTTTCTCAGGGAAAATAAAATTCACTGCCCTTTGGTGTTTGAACAATTCAAAATGTACTAGAGAGTAACAAATCAAGGCAATAAAAGAATCAATGATGCTCTTTTTAAAAGAGCAATAAAATCTAACCTCTTAGGCAGGATGGACCCCCTTAGGCTCCAATTATTTGATGTATAAAAGGAAGAAGAAGGAAGAGAAAAGTAATTAATTGAAGTAGCCCCATGAAAAGGGAGAAGTGTTCTCCAATGTGGTTGAATAAAATGTAAGCTACTTGATGCAGGAAATGCTTGTACAATGAGTAGCTAAAGAGTTTGCTTAGTGTTAGGAGAAGGTGGTGATCCATTTAAAGTTTTCAAGAAAAACAACCACACTAACTACATTTCTTATATTTGCACACAAATTGAAATCTATAGTTTATCCCTGTGGCTGGTAGCAAAATTAGCCAGTACTTGTATTGCTTTATCCAGATACTCAAGAAGTTTTATTTCCACAAACTCTTTATTTTATTTCTTTACTTATTTTGGTTCTTGAAAAGACAAGTTAAGACCGTTCCTCTTGAAAATTGGGTTTTCAGGAGGATGTTGTAGGGATAGTCCACATTTCAATCTGGAATTTCATCTACAAACCCCTGGGTAGAATGGGACCCTGGAAGGTAAAAAGAACAGACAGATCAGCTGTTTGAACTTCAGCTGAGTTCTGGGCCTCCTCACAAAGTACGGTTGACTAGAACAAATCATCTGTGGAGCTTAAAGTACCATGTAAATGTATGACTGTGACCTTCACTCATTTTCTAGGTAGACACATAAAGGCTGAGCTGACAGATCACTTATAGGCTTATATGGACCAAGATACAGACGTCTCCATTTTGCAAGGCAGAATAGATTTCAAGATTTGGATAATCATGAAGAATCTGGGGAAGGGGTGAGAAATTGAGAAAACTATAACCAAATGAGCCCCATACATAAAGCAGATGGCCCCTAGAAGCAGATTAAATGGTACTGTTTTATCCTAGTTATAAGGAAGGATTGAAAGAAGAAATTTAGTGCTAACTTAATTAGCTTAGTTAGCTTTAGGCGATGGTTTCAAAGGTAGGAGCCGAACCGTTTATGAAGAGATCATTAAAATTTGAAGTCAAACAAATGCACTAAAGTAAAATGTAAACATACTACAGAAAAATCATGTTAAATTCTTAAAGGCAGTATTAACTGCAAACCAGAAGGAAAAAAGAGTGTAACATTCTACTTAGAGCTATGCTCCTACACAAAAGCCTAAATTAGTTTTGTTAATAATTGCTACTTTTAACTAGAACAGAATTGTAAGGATTATTTTATTTGAAAATAAAGTGTATTAGTTAGGAGTAGATTTGGCTGCATATAACAAAAACAAGACAAAAATAAGTGTCTTGGACAAAATACAAGTTTGTTTCTCTCTCATCTAAAAGAAGCCCAGAGGTAGGCAGTCTAGGGCTGGGGTGGTGGTTCCATGATGTCACCAGAGACCTTTCTGGTCTGCCATCTTCAGTGTATGGCTTTTACCTCATGCCCAAGGTGGCTGCTGGAGCTCCAGGCATTACATCCACATTCTAGGCAGCAAGTATGAGGAAAGTATGAAGAAGGGATCACTTCTTTTCTTTAAGGAGGAGTCTTAGAAGTCCCACACAGAATTTCTGCTTACAGCTTATTGGCCAAGAGTTAGTCACATCACAGGCCCACACCTAGCTGTAAGGGAGTCTGGTAAATGTAATCTTTTTGCAGGGTATGTTGTTTCTCCAAATAAATTTGGGTATTACTACTAAGAAAGAAGGGTAGAATGGATAATGGAGTAGGCTACCAGTAATCTCTGTCATGTAAAGAAATCTAAAAGATACCAAAAAAAGAAAGCAGATGTATTTTATGCAGTAGATGTGTTCCTAAGGAGTTTCTGAAACTGTATCATTTTCTTGTTATATTGTATATTGAACCATAATCTGAATACATGAGAGGTATCAGGAATATGCTGGTGAATAATTTTCTGAGTATATTTTTAATAATCCATACCTAGTTTGATTGTTTTATTAGTTTGTATATTGTTTCCTTAGGTTTACTTAAAAGTGGGTCTGAATCTCTAAATTAGTTTTCTGAAAAATGGCAAGAATGAGATGGCTGTCTGATTCTGGTTTGCCTCATAGCTCTCACCCTCATCCCCAACTACCATCACTATATGCATTTTGCTCTCCACTCCTTTTTCATTTGGGGTAAGATCAGACTATGTAAAAGGCCACTGGGCTCAGAGGCGGGAGCTTTGAACTGTGTTCCTGTTAGGTGGCGAGGAGGGGACACATCAAGGGCAGTGCTGTCTGATGGCCCAGGGATGCCAGCCTTTGAATTGTGGTCCAGTTCAGAAAACAGAAGAAGTATAGACATTTACAGCCTTCATGAAAAGGGCCTGAGCACAGCAGGAGGACGAAGTTTTAGAGAGCCAGGGGGAAATTACTGTGCAGGAATAAGTGCTTAGATTATTAACAGAAACTACTCAATTAATGAAAGGAGAGTGCAGGAATAGTGCATTATGAAAAAGGGTTAGCTTTTCCCCCAACTTTATTCCCCCTAGTATATAAAATATTTAAAGCCTTATTGAAATAAGTCAAGGAAACAACTTATATCATAAACTGCTTAACATTTGTATTGGGTTCTATTTTATTTATTTTGAAATAGGGAGGGGGAGGGGAAGGAGAATAGGAGAGAGAAAAATTCCAAGAGTTTTCCTCCAACTTCTGTATTTCATTGCACAAGACTAGTTACAAACTATAATGTAATATTATATTACAATATAGTAATAATTATATGTAAATATAATTATATGTAAATAATAATATACATATATGTAGATAATGTAAAATAATAATACTAGCAAAATACATAAGACATCAGAGCATTAATTTTTCATTTACTAAGACTTAATTGATTTTTTTAAATTCTTGAGATAGGCCTCAAATATATGAACTTTTCTATTAAGAATACTAACCTCAGGGAGGTCCTCTGCATACTTCAAAGCAGTATATTTTACAACAAAATGAAGTTAACCGTAATTAAAAGGTAATGCTCTTTTGCAGTGTCCTGTTATTTAGCCCACTTATTTTGAAATGTCCCACTCTATATTCTCATGAATAATAAGCCATAGTAAACAACTTAGTTGATTCACTCCTTCGTTCTCTCATTTATGAATGCCTATATTGACCATGCAATGGTTAGCAACTGAGGCTCCAGTGGCAAGGGGCGTATTTGTTGGAGGAGAAAGGCAATTAGTAAAGAGACATTTAGAGTTATAGAGTGGTAAGAGACATGCACAAAATGCAGAGTTGCTTAATAGTAGTTCTTTTCTTTTCCTATGGGAAGAGTCTAAGAACTCTTTCCTCCAAACTCTAGCTAGGTCACCTTTACAGAGTGTGCCCGACACTCTCTTTGCCTCTCCAGATTCACTCTCCACTCTCTTGTGCCCTGCCCTGTGCCCTAGAGACTGACTTTTGTGTGCTGAGACCCTGCCCTCTGACTTCCAACCTTTGACCAGGCTCACCCATGGGGAAACACCAAAATTGGAGGGTGGGAGAAAAGTGAGATTGGGGTGTTTATTTCTCCAACTCCGTCCCTGCTGGGTCTCTGTGGTTGGCACAGCCCCCTACGGAGGGCCACCCTCCTGGAGGTGGCCTCTCCCCCCTGGTACTGCTCTCATTCCAGTACCAGCTGCTGCCCTGTCCCTTCAGGCCTAGAGGTGGTAAGAATTACCCCCACCTATCCCAGCCCCTACTGCTAGCCCCTAGGGGCTCCAGCATCCCTCCATTGATTCACTTTTATCCTACCCACGCCTCCATGAAATAGTTCCTTTTAAAAATCTTCCTCAATTACTCCAGGAATGCGCCATCTGTTTTCCGATGGGACCCTACTGTTATATTACATTTACCTTATGTACATGAGGTACATTCAAGCCTCTTGAACTTCAGTTTGATTCCTCACTTGATCAATGATGCTTTTTGATTAATCAAAGCCCCATTTGGCTTTGATTCAGCATATGGATCGGAGCTCTGTGGATTATCTCTAGATTTAAGAATGCATTTCATTTCATCTGAGGTCCTTTTAAAAGCTGTGTTATATCACAAAATCCATGGGCAATCACTAATGTTAAACATTAAGCTTCACTTAACTTTTGGGGACTCAATTTCTGTGCCACTGAGACACTTGCGAATGAAGGGGGCTGTGGAGGTGACAAGCAGGTGTACCTGCTGACTGGCAGCCTCCAGGACCATTCAGAGGATTACTGTGGAGGGGAAATGTGCTGGTTAAATAGATTATTTGTGTGCTTGCTTCTCCGCACTGTGCTGACTGACATTTTACTAATCTGTTTAGCAGATTGAAGTTCCGGAACAAGGCAAAAGTAAAAAATACCGCATTCAACAAAGCCAGGTCTGTGAGTAAAATTATGTAATTGATATTATAATTTTGATAAATCTGGCCTTTTTTTCCCCTTTAAGTAACCCAAGTCATTCTACTTTTAAGAATAAGCCAGAATTCTCTTTCTCAGAAGCTCCTCCGTGTTGGTTGGGCCAATTGGAGGACCATCAGAGAAGTGTAGTATTTTTATTGTAGTACCAGTAGGGCTGGGAGAAGTGCTTTCCCGAAGTTTTACATAGAAAATTTCCAAGAAGAACACAAATTCTTTAGTGATTTTCTTCTACACCCTGTGCATTTTTTGGAAAATCCTCTTTCTGGTTTGTATATTTTAGTTTCATAGATTTTCTGCAGTGTACTCTGTACAAGACAACTTTTAAGTTTATAAAATACTTTTGCAAGCATTTAGGTCGAACATTTAGGTGCAGATAATGGTAACAGTAAAAATCATAATAGAGAGCATTAATAGGCACTCGATATTGCCAGGCACTGTTCTAAGCACTTTTATGTGGGTTAACATATTTATCCTTACCATGAACATGTGAAACAGTTGAGGAAACTGGGGCACAGAGAGGTTAAGTGATGTGCCCCAAGTTGCACAGTAATCAATGGTGGAAGGAAGCACGTAGTCTGACTCCAGAGCCATGCCCTTAACTACCTTTGCTAACTCTTCCTTTTTAGGTTCAAATCCTAGTATAGGTGAATGAAACAAAGGTGACCTCTAAGTAGCATTTGAATGGAATTTGGTTATTCCTCCAGCTCCTCTCACAGGGTCTGCTGTATGTATAAAGGTACTTAGTATATAAGTACAGTATTTATAAATACATAAGCATGTAAGGTTCTTTTTTGAGTGGATAAGCTCAGAAAAAAAAGTAAAAACAGGCTAAATGCAAAGCTTTCTGTCTTTCATAACAACAGCATTTCTGGCTGCTTAGATCAGAGACAGGAGATGAGAACTCCACCACTTAACTGGCTCTGGGTCTTCAGGCAGATCAAAAAACTAAGTGTATGTAAGCGACTCCTGAGGTTCTTATTAAAGTGCAAATTTCTAGAGGCCACTTCGGCAGCCCAGGTTCACAGGTTTGGATCCTGGGCATGGACCTACACCACTCGTCAGTCATGCTGTGGCGGTGACCCACGTACAAAAGAGAGGAAGATTGGCACAGATGTTAGCTCAGGGTGAAACTTCCTCAGCAAAAAAAAAAAAAAAGTAAAAATAAAATGCAAATTCCTGGGCTTCACCCCCAAAAGATTGATCCAGTAGATCTGGGTTACAGGGCCTCCATCAGCATTTATAACAAGTACCCCAATGGGAAACACTGCACCAAGCTTCAATTTCTTTTTCTGTAAAATGTAGGTGGTAATCACTCCATTTAAATTCATCCATTTCAGCAACAAGATGATGGCGTAGAGCCGTGGTTCTCAACCTTGGCTGCACGTTGGAATCAGCTGGGGAGCGCTAAAAACTAACAATGCCTGGGGCCTGGCAACAGAATTTTTAAAACTCCCCAGATGGTCTGATGTACAGCCAGCATTGGAACCATGATCCTAGAACAGTGGTTCTCAAAGTGTGGTCCCTAGGGACCACAGGGAACTTATTAGAAATTCAAATCCTCAGGCCACAAACCTACTGGATCAGCAACTCTAGAGGTAGGGGCCAGCAACTTGTGTTGAGCAAGCCTCACCCTCTAGATGAGTCTGATGTGTGTCCAAGTTTGAGAGCTGCTGTCCTGGAACAACAGATGACACAACACGCAGCACAACTGTGATCCACGTTGATGCTAATTCAGGTATCCTCTCAGATGAGCGCAAGGCGACAACAGGCAGACCTCCCTCATGCTCTGAGCAGGGCCACCATGTCAGAAGGAGGCCTGGTGTCCAAATATAGTGAATTCCAACTTATTTTAGGAAACCTTTATGTAGAGCTTATCCTGAGCCAGGCACTGTGATAATTGCTTTCCATATATAATTCATTTAATCCTCATAACAACCCAGGTATTATTATCCTTGGTTTATAGCCGAGGGAACTGAAAACATAGAAAGGTTAAGTAACTTGCCCAAGGTCACACAGCTGGTAAATGACAGACCCAGTATCCAAACCCAAGCAGTCTTTATTTGTTGTTTAACAAAGTTTGTTTGTTCCTTTAACCACTTTGCCATGGGGCCTCTCAATCAAGACAAATCCATCATAAAAAAATTTTTTTAGCTGATCTGCCCATTGAGGTGCCCACATTTATTTCACCAAGATCAAAGCCCGTTCTCCATGGCCCTGTCTTTGAGATTTCATAAATACTGAAAGCCAGCTATTCACTCCCTGAGGATTTGTAGCAACCATAACCTCTTAAAATGTTTTAAAATAACTATAATACTTGTTAAAAATTTGTATTTTTGTGGAATGTGCACTAAAGATTTTGGGTAAAGTTAAAAACTGAAAGTCACGTGGCTTTTAAGAGAGGGGAAAAGGACAAGAGAGGCAGAGTTCAAGTGTTAGCTGGAGACATCCTGGTGCCTGGAAAGGCGCTCTGAACACGTCTACCTTGGCACACCAGCAGGGGGCACTCTCAGCCCTAACACATGTGCACCTACCCCAAAATAAAGATTCTACAGGATAAGACCATTTAAAATAACCATTGCTTAAACAAATGTAACTTTCTGTTGCCTTCTTAATATTATTTTAACATCCTTGACTTTTTTGTTGGTTTTGTCATTATGGAAATTATTTCCACTTCTGACCTCTCTGTTTGCTTTGCAACAGAAAGACTATTCTAGTTTTCTTCCAAGAAAAAGCAAGATTAAGACAGAGAAAGTGGACTGTGTTTTTGGGACCATAAAGGAAGAAGATCTTTGAAGAGATAGTCAATGTCCTCTAAGGCTGTCTCTACAGTGAAAGAGCTTGCAGGTTGAAAGTGTGCTTCCTACCATCAATGGAAGAAATCTGACCCTTTCCCATTTTGTTGATGTTAAGATGGACCATATTCATCAAGACTACTTCAGAACTCTCTTAATCTCAAGATTAAAAAGAAATACGAACCAAAGTTATACGGTTTGTTTTTAGTGACTCATAAAGGACAAGTGGAAAATCCAAATCAATTAGTAGGAAGCTCATTCTTTTTTCTTTCTAAAGTAGATGTTTACCTAGCTTCATGAAGTCTTATATATCTTCTGATATTACAAGAATGAAAGGCTTCATATAAAACAGTATGAATGCATTTGGGGTTAAGTTCTGAAGATGTGATGACTCATCAGCTGAGGAGAATGTGGCTCTGTCTGAGAAATGGAATCATTGCAAGAGAAATCCAGGCTTCACTGATCCATCCACAGCACCAGAGCAAGGAGGTGATGAACTACTGATTTGGTTCCTTACATAATCTGGAGCCTACCAATATGGATGTACTCAAAGTAATAGGCTGCCCAGTTCTGTTTCTCCACTGGTCTAATTGCATGCTGTCCTTAAATAGAGTTCAGCTCAGTAATCATCATGCTATTTTGAAAAGCAATGGGGCCCTTCACTCGATATCAGATACCTTATGTCTCTTAGCTTTAAAAATATGTATACTTCTTCACTAGATTATTCCTTATCCAGTTGCAGTTTATCATGGTAATTAATGTAATTATATAGAGACTTAAGACCACAGTAAGGGAGAGGGACAGAGGAATCTATGTAATGTAATTAGATAAAGTGCAATATTCTAATGTTCTTTTCTAACTGGGTTGTGTAACTATATAATAAATATGAAATATATTCTAGTGAATATAGAATTTACTGATGAAAATTCTGTGAATGATCTTTTTGAAGTGTAGAATCTGTTAAAGCCCTATAATATTTATAAAGCAATGCCTCTATCTGTAACTTCTAGTGCCATGAAGTTTTATATTTATATTTTAGGCTGTAGTAGGAAGTTTCGGCCGGGAGAATCATAAACATCCCAAATCATTTGTGGTGAGTGTATTAATGGATTAGGATGCATTTTCAGATTAAAATGGAAGTTTACCTACTATTTTGCCAACTTAAGAATAGTCGAGGTCTATTTCTTTTTAATAGCTGACACCTACACTGTGTAAGGACTATTGTAGACACTAGGAACGCAAAGGGAATTTGTATTTGGGGTGAGAAGACACATATGTTAAGTTGAACCATATGTAGTTGCTGTCATGTTGGTCAAAAATAGTTGAATGTTGTCAGTTTGATATGTTTCAGCTTGATAACATAAGAGTAATCCAGAAGCATGTGTCAGTGTCCAGTGTGCACCTGTGTGTCAAAGGAAATTGGGGGCATTAGGAAGGCCCCAGGGGAACAGGGACTCTGAAGAAAGAGTTGAGTCAAGTGGAGGCAGAGATGGGGGCACACACGTCAAAGGCAAGGATGGACACTGATGGGAGAATGGAGCAGTGTTTGGAAAGGATGAGCAAACCCGCCCTGTGCTAGCAAAGCTTTGGGTTAAGGGAGCAGTTAGGAGATAAAGAGGGAAGAGGGATCAGTATATATGCATACACGAATGCAGTGTCCCTATAAGTGGAGCAGTTTGTCCCTTATCTGAGGATGGCAAAAACAGAAGCATTGTATTTATTAGTTTTTTTCAAGACATTGAGATTATCAATATCAGATAGGAGAAAAAAATACAAGTGATGAACTGCATTCCACAGCATATACTGTGAAGAATAAAGGAACTGGGATAGTAGAAAACAAAATTCAAAACTTACTTTGTAAAATAACACATTTCTTAGCAGTTATGTGAGAGAAGAAGGGGCTGTGAGCCCCTTTAGGGATTACTGGGCCTATCTTTATCTAGAAGGAGTTTGGGGGTTTGAATCACTTCTGGATTAACATACTTCATCATTAAGTAAAAAGTCTAACTTCCAACTGCAGGCCTTTGCTGCTGCAGGCTCTGAGAGAAGATGGCGAGTGAGACCCCATCACTCCTGGGGGTAATGACCTCACTCTTCCAGTGGTGCTGCTGGGGCAGGACCTTCCCAACAGCACAGCCACCCAGCACAGGAGAAGACACAGCCAGCGCCTGACCTTTATAAAGGTAGGCCACTGTTGAAATCCTTCAAGTAACTCCTAAGCGCTGTGGCATGGCTTGGGAAATTACCAGCATATGCTTTAATCTATAGATTCACTCCTCATATACCTGCAAAAATGGTCCCCAGTCAGCCAAATTTTCTCCTGATACATCTGCATTCACCATCATCACTTCTCTCCCCTTCTAGACATGACTATTTGTTTCTGCTGTTGTTCGTACTTCTAAAATAACTGGCATAAGCCCTGTGCCCCACAGACAAACACACTTGAGTTTGAAAATTTTACAAAAATAATAATGAGAATAAAAGGCAGAACTAATTAAATTGTGGTTAGGGGGCCGGCCCCGTGGCTTAGCGGTTAAGTGCGCGCACTCCGCTGCTGGCGGCCTGGGTTCGGATCCCGGGCGCGCACCGACGCACCGCTTCTTCGGCCATGCTGAGGCCGCGTCCCACATACAGCAACTAGAAGGATGTGCAACTATGACGTACAACAATCTACTGGGGCTTTGGAGGGAAAAAAATAAATAAATAAAATCTTTAAAAAAAAAAAAAAAAAATTGTGGTTAGGCCCTGAAGTCTGAGCCCTTTTGGCTCATATGGAGGGAAGCACGTGCAGGCTTTGTTTGAAGAGCTGACGTGCTCACCAAAGCCAGGTCTCAGTGTAGGTCAGTAGGTGGTGAGTGTATGGCTGGCACATGTCCCCATCTGGACAATTGGGAAGCAAATTTTATGTTATATATGTAGGTTAGAAATGACCCTAAGTTCACCCTCAAAGTGAATTTGAGAAGAACTAAGTGATCTTAATTTGTGGAAAACCAAATAGGGTCCAAGTCTTGGTGGGAAAACAGTGGCCAAAGTGATCCTAAAATACAAAACGAAAGAAAACTCAGCAATGGAAACAACTCTACTTCTGCAGAGGCTTTTTAGTCATCCCTCCTCCTGCGTGTGTGGACAGTGGATGTGGACTCAGGATGGTGGGAGAGGGAGTGGAAAGTACTTCTCTCCTTCATTAGAGTGGTCTCAATCCTGTCATCAGTCATCCCAGAAAAAAAGTCAAGAAAAAGGTACGTTTTGCTGGCTGTTATCACCCAAAAATAAGACATTCTGAGCTAACTTAGAAATAAGTACGGCTAAGCAATAATCCCTTAGTAGGTGGCTTTTAAGCCTTATAACTGCACTTTTTCTCCACTTTACTGAGTTTTAATTGTACTTTGCTTATAGGTTGCTTTATAATAGCTGTTTATTGTATTCTTAAGAAGTAAGTCGTTTGCATAACAATTTTCCAGATAAGATAAGAGCTATGGAAAAAGTACATGGCAGGCTTGGGTCTTTGGTCTAGCTGTAGCCCATGCACTTTCCTGTAGGGCAAAGTCTTTAGCTAACCATATAGGCTTTGCTTGTGTAGTATCTTGGAAGAGGTTAGACATTCCGTTGATTTAAAGCCACTGCCCCTAGTGATTTTGCACTGCTCTTGCACCGAATGTGGTTTCTCTCCCGGAAATGTGGGAACACAGAGTTGGCTGTACTTCCTAATGCCTTTTCCATCTGTCCACATATTTGAGGGATTCTGTGGTGCAGGAGTTGTCTCGGGTGGAGGCGCTCGGAGCAGCAGGCTGAAACTGGTGAGTGTGGGTTGGCTTTGCTGTGCACATGCGTGCTCTTATTCTCACAGGAAACGGGTCCCTGCGGAATTTCTGAGGAGCTCCAATCTTTTGTAACAGGGTCTAGTGTGCAGCGGAAGAGGATATAAATCTACTGCTTCTGGGTCTCAATCGAGAAGTTCAGAATTTGGTTTTTCAACAGAGCAAAAATGATGAGTAAAACAAGTGAAATGGCAGGTATTAAACATTTATATTGCAAAAGTCAACTATTTGGAGACAAGCTGTATTCAAAAATTAATTAACTATAGAGTTGATTCCCAGATGGTGCTTCACAGTGGTTGGTGGGGCATCACACTTTCCAGAGGCACTAGGCCAACAAGCACACCTACTTATGCACAGAGGGAGAGCGGCTCCACTCCCCCATCGCTTGTACAGCACCATGTTAAGGAAGAAAATAGGGAGATTGTATATCAGAGTTTATCTTCATGTGTCGACTGAATGTACACATAGTGGTTAAACCTAACCTTACAGGTAATTGGATTTATATCAATTATGTATGTAATATTAGCTAGCAATTAACTATCTGTTGTTTGTGTTCTTTTTCCCCCTTTTCCTACCTCATCTCTTTTCCCTTTTCATTTGTCAAAATTAAAACAGGTGACAGGCAGTCTAGGGATCACAATGAAAATCGGCTGAGATCTTGGGCAGTGAATTCACTGTAGAAAAATGCTAAACCCTTACAGCCCTATTGCAAACTCTCTTACCTGGGATTTTTATAAAAAATCCTGCTGGATGACTAACAAAACAAAAAAAAAAACACAAAAAGCAACTAGCTCCATTTGTTGTTTTTTTTTTTAAATATACTTTGTGAGCTTGGAAGATAGACGTAAAATAATTTTTCAAGTTTTTTAAAAATAAAAATCATTTGTTAGTCTTTTCGCATTCTGTTTGCCTTAGAACAAACGCATAGGCTAAGAGCAATTTGCACGACTCATCCACCTTTGTTTCCTATAAAAATGTCTTAGTTTCCTCTCTGGTTGGTCAGGAGTGTGAGTTGGAAAGGTGTGTTAGTCCAGCTGTACCTGCAGAAAATAGTTGTCAGAGTAGAATAGCCTCGGGCTTTATCCTGACATTGGCATCACACTTTTGTACAGGTGGAAATGAAAGCACAGATCACTGTTTTGAGAGGAAGAGAGCAGAACTGAGGCAAGTTCTGGTAAAGTTCGCTTCCTGGAGTATACTGCGGGACTAAGACGTGCTTTGCTTCTGTCTGAAGGATTGCCAAGAGTGTGTTTTGAGACTAACATGAGAGTTAAGATCCCTCTAAGCCTAAAATTGCAGTTCATTGTGAGCCCCTGGGGTGAGCTAGGCACCATTCTAGGGGAAAAGCGAACCCTTTAACAATCCAGATTGCTAGAGTCATCTAAACTGCTCGTTATCTGGACCAAGCAGACATCCCAGGGCCTTTGGGGACAGCATGAGCCCCTCCTTAGCTTCTCCTTTGCCCAGACTTAACAACCCCGGGCTAGCATGGTCTCTAAGGAGTGGGAATATTAAAGAGTTAGAAAGGAAGCTTAGGGCCAGAAAGGAATGGAGAGAAGGCAAGGCTAGCCGGGGCTAGGAGCTTTTCCCACATTATCTCCTGTTGCCTTTCCTTGCCCGCTTCTGAGAAAATTTATAAAGCTATGGACTTCCTGAGTTTCTGGTGCTTGTTTTGAAGTATAAAATAAATGACCAAATATATGGACATCATCCTTTCATATGTACTTTGGGGAGTTCTTATTG